CAAAACAGAGTATGTTAAAATTCATCCTCACCTTCATTTCGCCTCGCATACAGTTTCGGGCACTCCTCTTCAGAATAACTGATCTCAAGTATTGATGTTAATCCACCTAGGACTTCAACAGTGTCTGAGAAGAGTAAAGATGAACTACGTCAGATGGAAATTTCTTCTAGACTTCGCGGTCTTCTGTAAACTCCTCAGTCTTTCCAGCAGATGTGCTTCATTTCTTTATCCCGAAAACGATGTCAACGATTTTTCTTTCCTTAGCATGTTTCACGCAGGGAGAGCCGGTGATGTGAAGCAGCCCCGTGGGTGGTGTTGGCACCTCCCCCTGGATGCAACCCAGGTTCCTTTTGGGGCCGGGTCACTGCGGTGCGGGAGTCCCGTCAGACGAGGAGGACAACTTTGGTGGTGACAGCCCTGGTGGTGTGGAGGAGGAGGGTGCGGAGGACGCTGAGAGCCGCCCCTCTGGCCCCAACCACTGACTACCCAGAAGCAGATCCCCACACTGTATGGGACCAGGAACAAGTGAGCCCACGTGTCGGGCGCGCGGACTCCCCAGATGCCAATGAGTGTCCCTGTGACGGTGGGGCTGGCGGGCGAGACGGGCCCCTTGCTCATCACAGGGAAGATCCACAGCATTGTCCGCGGCTACAGCCAGCGGGAGCCCTGGGGACTGTGGGGCAGACAGCTTGTGGGGACGCACTGATCCTGGCCGTGCCTCATCCCGGTTTCTGTTTTCACATTCTTTATGCGTGTAAATAATAAACCATCCAACCTTTAAAAAAAAAAAGATTATTTATTTATTTATTCATGAGAGAGAGAGAGAGAGAGAGGCAGAGACCCAGGCAGAGGGAGAAGCAGGCTCCACGCCGGGAGCCCGATGCAGGACTCGATCCCGGGACCCGGGGTCGCGCCCTGGGCCGGAGGCAGACGCTCAACCGCTGAGCCCCCCGGGCGCCCCTACACCAGCCGACCTCTAAACAAAGGGCACAATGAGACTGTGGGCCACTCTTCAGGGGGAAGCACCGCTGAGGGAGAAACAGCACTGACGGAGCCAAGTCAGTTTTGATCCGGATGAAGGTGAAGAACACAGGCTCACAGCTCGCATTCAGAACAATCCAGAGCTTTCCGGCACTGTCTACACTGCAGCACCTGCTGTGGGAACCCCCTGGGTGGGCCGCGCTCCTGGCCTCGGGGGGGAAAGGGAGGAAACTCGAATAACAAGAGGCGGATGGAGACATCAGTGGACTCAGCCAGGGCGCGAGGGGGTGAGAGCCGCTGGGAAGTCAGACTGGTCGCCCGCGGGAATGCCACCGGCCGGCCTTGTGGAAAAGGCAGCTAAAAGCCACCAGAGGGAGACTTTCCTGGTCCTGCCCACGGAGTTAGAGTGTCGCTGCCCTCTGTGGAGCCTGGGGCCGGGTGAGTAGCCGGGACTCCTCACACGCACCTGAGAAAACTCAGCGGGAAGGAGCTTCAGCCAGGACGAGCCTCACAGGCACAGCCTGAGGGCCCCAGGGCTGAGTGGGGTCGGGGGCTCACCTTCACCCTCCGGGTGCCCCGAGGCACACAGACACCCCCCCCCGCAGGTGCAGGAGGAGCACAGACCCCCCCCCGCAGGTGCAGGGGAGCACAGACACCCCCCCACAGGTGCAGGAGCCAGACCCCCCCCCGCAGGTGCAGGGGGAGCACAGACCCCCCCCCCGCAGGTGCAGGGGGAGCACAGACCCCCCCCCCCGCAGGTGCAGGGGGAGCACAGACCTCATTCCGATGAAGACAATGCTTTGGAAGAAGACAGGCCAGAGCGATGTGGCCCCAAACCTGCGTGTGTGCAGTCATGTGGCCTAAACATCAGGCCCCGGGGACATATTTTTCCAATACTTAGCTCAGTAACGACTGAGAACTTGTGGCTTTAGGACTGTAATTCCAGATTTCCAACATGGCATCATGTGGCACTTAAATGATAAAGACGTGACTGCAGGACTTCCCTTCCCTTCATAGCCCCGCGGCGTCTTCCCGGGATCCTGTGGGAGGCATAAGCCGGCTGACAGCCTTGCTAAATGTATGTTGCCCACAGTCCCAGGCGCGTCCCGGGGCGCGTGCTGCCACCTGCTGCCGCCCGGTGAGACCGCGACTGGACCCGTCCACACCGGCTCCCGGACCGCCGACCGCCTGGGGACACAGGCCTGGACGGGGAGCGGCCCGGCCCAACAGGCTGACACGTCCCACCTCCGGGGGGCCCCGGTGCAGGGGACGCTGGACACACGGGAGCCCGGGCTTCAGTTAGGACGCGGGGGACACGTGCACACTGAAGGGAAGGGACGGCGCGGGGTGGCGGGGGGAGCAGGGGAGGCCCCCGGAAGGAGGCAGGAGGTGCGCAGCAGGTGGGCTGGGCCACCATGGGGTTTCTGGAGGTCCCCGCGGGGCGGGGGTGGGGGGCGGCAGAGGGGGCCGGGACCCCACTCCTGGGGCAGCCCCACAGGCTGGTCCACCCAGGGCACGGACCCTGGGGTTGAGTTCGGGTTTGACCCTGCAGTTCAGGAACCCCACCTGCCGCGACACCGTCCCTCCGCCCCGGGGGCCCTCCTCTGCCCGGTCCTGCCGAGACTCCACCTGCACCCAGAGGGTGGGCTGTGCCCCGGGGGGACCCCGGCCGGTGAGTCTACAGGTGGCCACGCTCACCGGCCCTCACCTGCTCCTGGAACCCTGGGCCCTGACTCGCGACCCGAGGGCCCGGCTCCCACGCCCTGGACCAGGCGCCCGAGCCCACACCCCTAGGCCAGGGCGGCATCCTGGGAGCCCTCCCCCCTGCCCTCCCTGCCGGCCCCCCAGCCCGCCCCCCCACGCTGCACTTCCCCGGATCCTGCCCCCCTGCCCTTCCCCCTCCCTTGGCCCCCTGCTGTCCCCCCAGCCTGCTCTCCCCTGAAGCCCCCTGGAGCAGGACCCTCCGCACCGCACCTGTGCATCCTGGGCAGCACTCGGACGGCCCAGGTGTACGGCGACCACAGGTACCTAACACCCAGGTGATGACGTGCACCCACCCACAGGGCATGTGCCACAAAAAGGGGGTCCCTCCCAGGCCCTGTGTGGCCCTAGGAGCCGGGACACTGTCTCCCCCGATCCCTCTGGGTCCAGGAGTGTGGAGTTACCTAATAACCTCCGGGGGCACGGACACAGTCACTGTCCCCCTCGGTCACCCCTGGAGTGAGGTCACTGTCACTGTCCTCCTCGGTCACCCGGGGTGAGGTCACTGTCCCCCTTGATCTCTGGGGGGTGACGTCACTGCCCCTCGGTCCCCTGGGGTTGACGTCACTGCCCCCTCGGTCCCCCGGGGATGAGGTCACTGTCCCCCTTGGTCCCCCCGGGGTGACATCATTATCCCCTCGGTCCCCCGGGGAGACATCACTGCCCCCTCGGTCCCCCCGGGGATGAGGTCACTGTCCCCATTGGTCCCCCCAGGGGTGACATCATTATCCCCTCGGTCCCCCCGGGGAGACGTCACTGTCCCCTCGATCCCCCGGGGTGACTCATTATCTCCTCGGTCCCCCGGGGGAGACGTCACTGCCCCCTCGGTCCCCCGGGGTGACGTCACTGCCCCCTCGGTCCCCCCGGGGATGAGGTCACTGCCCCCTCGGTCCCCCCGGGGATGAGGTCACTGTCCCCCTCGGTCCCCCCGGGGATGAGGTCACTGTCCCCTCGTCCCCCCAGGGTGACATCATTATCCCCCGTCCCACGGGGAGACGTCACTGCCCCTCGGTCCCCTGGGGAGACGTCACTGCCCCTCGGTCCCCAGGGATGAGGTCACTGTCCCCTCGGTCCCCCGGGGTGACGTCATTATCCCCTCGGTCCCCTGGGAGATGTCACTGCCCCCTCGGTTCCCCCGGGGATGAGGTCACTGTCCCCCTCGGTCCCCCGGGGATGACGTCAGTATCCCCGGTCCCTGGGTTGACGTCACTGCCCCTCGGTCCCCCGGGATGAGGTCACTGTCCCCTCGGTCCCTCGGGGATGAGGTCACTGTCCCCTCGGTCCCCCCGGGGTGACATCATTATCCCCTCGGTCCCACCGGGGGAGACGTCACTGCCCCCTCGGTCCCCTGGGGGAGACGTCACTGCCCCCTCGGTCCCCAGGGGATGAGGTCACTGTCCCCCTCGGTCCCCCGGGGTGACTTCACTGCCCCCTCGGTCCCCCCGGGGATGAGGTCACTGTCCCCCTCGGTCCCCCGGGGGTGACGTCCCCTCGGTCCCCGGGGAGTGTCACTGCCCCCTCGGTTCCCCCGGGGATGAGGTCACTGTCCCCCTCGGTCCCCCCGGGGTGACGTCAGTATCCCTCGGTCCCTGGGGTGACGTCACTGCCCTCGGTCCCCCGGGATGTCACGCCCCTCGTCCCCCGGGTGAGTCCCCCCGTCCCGGGATGGTCACTGTCCCCTTGGTCCCCCGGGGGTGACATCATTATCCCCTCGGTCCCTCCGGGGGAGACATCACTGCCCCCTCGGTCCCCCCGGGGATGAGATCACTGTCCCCCTCCGGGTACTCTTCCCCGGTCCCGGGGTGACGTCACTGCCCCCTCGGTCCCCCCGGGGATGAGGTCGTCCCCTCGCCCCGGGGTGACGTCACTGCCCCCTCGGTCCCCCCGGGGATGAGGTCACTGTCCCCCTCGGTCCCCCGGGGGTGACGTCACTGCCCCCTCGGTCCCCCGGGCGCGGTCACGGTCCCTGGGCCCTCCGTGCCCCCGGGGTGCAGGCAGGACGCGCACCCGCCCCGGGTCAGGACGGGGGAACTGTGGACACCGACCGGCTCCCCTCGTCCCGCCGGGAGGGAGCCCATCCGCGACCTACTTCCGGTTCCAGCCCCAGACGCCTTCTAAAGCCGTGGAATACCGCGAGACGTGAATCTGGTCCCCACAAGCGGATATCGCGAGATGGCCGGATCCGCGCAAGTTTCGCGACGGGTGGAAATCCCGCGAGAGGCGACGCCGGAGGCGTTCCCCGCGCGAGCGGTCTGGGCGGGGACAGCGAGGCGGAGGTGGTGAGGGTGGGCCTTTCCGGAACGATGCCGTCCGCCTTCTCCGTCAGCTCCTTCCCCGTCAGCATTCCTGCCGTGCTCACGGTAACTCGCCGCCTCCCTGACGGCGCCTCGGGCGGTGGCACTTGGGGCCACTCCGGGTTTGCCCGCTTCCGCCGTGGGCGCCAACCGCACCGGACGGCGCGTAGGGGCGGGGCTAGGTGGGCGGGGCTTGGTGGGCGGGGGTTTGCGGGCGCTGGGCGGGGCGCCCAGGGGGCGGGGCTTCGGGGCGGGGTCTACGCACGGTGGGCGGGGCTTTCGGGGCGGGGTCTGCGCACGGCGGGCGGGGTTTCGGGGCGGGGTTTGCGCGCGGTGGGCGGGGCTTCGGGGCGGGGTCTGCGCGCGGTGGGCGGGGCTTGCGCGCGGTGGGCGGGGCTTGCGCGCGATGGGCGGGGCTCCCGCGGTGCTGGAGGCGGTGTGGACAGCCCCGCGGTGGAGTTGCTGGGCCGGGCGGCGTGAGCTCCGGAGCGGCCCTGGCGGGGTCCTGCACGCCCCGTCCTCCGCCCGTCCCGCGGGTGCCCTCCGCACCTGGTGGGGCAGGGAGCCGTGGCCAGTTGGCCCTGCGGAGGCGCGCGGGAGCGGCGGGGGCCCTCCGAGAGTCCCCAGGGCTCTGCGGGACGCGGAGGCAGGGCCGGCCTGGGAAGGGCAGGCCTTGGGTGTGAGTCTGCATCAGGACGTCTGAGACGGGGGGGGGCACCTGGGGGGGACTGAGCTCCTGTGGGGGGATCTGAACACCTGGGGGGGGGATCTGGGAGGCTCCTGGGGGGTGGGTCCTGGGAGACTGCACCTGGGGGGGATCTGGGCACCTGGGGGGAGAGCTGGGCACCTGGGGGGGATCTGGGCACCTGGGGGGAGAGCTGGGCACCTGGGGGGAGAGCTGGGCACCTGGGAGGGGATCTGGGCACCTGGGGGGAGAGCTGGGCACCTGGGGGGAGAGCTGGGCACCTGGGGGGGAAATCTGAGCACCTGGGGGGAGAGCTGGGCACCTGGGGGGGAAATCTGAGCACCTGGGGGGATCTAGTACCTGGGGGGGATCTGAGCACCTGGGGGGATCTGGCCACCAGGGGGATCTGGACACGGGGGTGGGGATTTGGGCATCTAGAGGGTGAATCAGCACGTGGAGGTCAGGTGGGCATCTGGGGGTGTGGACATGCCCCACAGAGTTGAGGAGACCCGGCATCTTGGTGCCATTTGGAAGGCTCACAGAAAGTTTGGAGAAAAGAAAAACTGGCAGACTGGGATGCCTCGGATTTCCCAAGGCCTTAAGTACTTGTGTAACGAATTCAAGGTAGTTCTGGGTAAGCCTTGGAGTCACCAAGTGGGTCTCCTGACCAAGTCACTTAACGTCCTCCTCAAGTCACGGGATGATCCTTAGAAACCTTAGAAACACCGTTCTGTTCCCTACGCTGACGGGGCAGGTCCTCGGGCACAGACATCCCACCGGTGGTGTTCCTCTTTAAAGCCAGGGCAGAGGGTTCCTGCTGCGTCCTGCCCTTCCCTTCTCCAGCCCCCGTGTCTACAAGGCCTGTGGGGAGGGCTCTGGACCCCTTAGCCCAGGGAACGCCCAGTAGCGAGGGACCACTGCCCTCCCTGACCCACAGACCCGGAGCCCGGCCCCTACCTGAGCTGACGATGAGATGACGTGTGTCTTACAGCAGACGGACTGGACGGAGCCGTGGCTCCTGGGGCTGGTTGTCTTCCACGTGCTGTGCCTGCTGCTCACGTGTCTCTCGTCCCAGAGGTACAAGCTGCAGGTCGGGCATTTCCTGTGCTTAGGTGAGTACGACAAACAGCTGTGCGACGCCGATGGCTGTGTGATGTGGCCAGGTGCGGGTGGGACACCTGAGGGCTGTCGGCAGGTGTGCACCTCCCCTGCCAGCACAGATGAAGTCGTTTCCAGTCTCCCTGCGTTGCCGTCAACTGCGATGAGTGCAGTGAAGGAAGAGCACCCCAGGGACCGTGGGGCGCCCTGTCCACATTGCTAGAGGTAGCTGAGGTGCGCCGTGAGCATGATCCGTGCACGGCCCGGAGGCAGGCCCCTCGAGCAGCGCGATGGCCTGATTGGAGCAGCTGACGGGCTAGCAACAGCCTGCAAACTTCAGGACTCTGTGGGTCTGTTACTGTCCAGGCAGAGGAGGGGGTGCTTTGCACACTCACAGTAGTAAATAGACGCTGTTCTCCACGTGCACATACTCTGGTAATTCCACCCTCAAACCAGCACAAAATTAACTTTACTTGGTGCAGCGTCTCTTGCTACACTTTTGCAGATGAAGCAGAGAGGTTCCCTAACCCCCGGGTCCCTCAGCGCCTGGGTGGCACGGCGGAGACTCAGGGCGGCGTTGGGGGCGCAGCGCCTGGCAGAGATGGTGCCTTCCCCCGCCCCACGCCTTCTGAGTCCTGCCTGCCTCCCCTCACCTGGCTCTTGGGCTTTCCTCATGGGCCCCGTTGGGTCCGTTCATGGAGGCAGGAGTGGAGATCGCAAACCCGGTGTGATCTGTGATTTGGGTCAAGGGCAGCAAGGCTCACACGTTGTAACTTACCGAGGAATGAAAGCTTCGGCGTTGAAAGCAGGTTGCCCTGTGCCGGTGTGTTAGCAGCAGGCTGTGGGGCCGCCTGCCGGGCTCGGGAGGGCCCTGCCGGGGAGGCTCGGGAGCATCACGGGTTGTGCCGTGGCCGCCGTCCCGCTGGGCAGGGCTCAGGAGCCCAGGAGCGTGGCCCCGGGGGGCCGTGCGGGCGGGAACAGGGGGAACAGGTTGCTTGGAGCTCTGGGCATCCTGCCTCCAGCGTCTCCGACGAGGGAGCCCTGACGGGTCAGGTAGGGGCGTAGGCGGAGTTGCACATGCGTGAGCGCTGGGTGTTCGGGCACAGGACCTGGATGCCGCCCTCTGCACCTGCTCCGCAGCTTTGGACTCAGACCACTGAGGCTTTAACGGGTCTTGACCTTTCTCGGTTTTCTTCTGTTAAATGGTTGGGGTCCATAATTTTAAAATCTTACAATTTTGACCTCATGCTTTCTGTAAAATAGAAGTTATGTTTCTCATCGAATTCCTGCTTTTATATTTACGTTAAATATATCATCACAGAAAGAACGTGTGCTTCTGTTAAGTCAGCTTCAGTCACCCCAATCCTGACGTGTAGTTTCTCTCTTTTTTAGTGATTTTAGTTTATTGTGCTGAATATATCAACGAAGTAGCGGCGATGAACTGGAGGTAGGCCCCTCCCCCCCGTCATGACTGTGGTGAGGGACTGACCGCGCTGTGGAAGGCATGTGCTATGGGGCACAGCGTGCAGAGCACAGGGGTCAGAGAAGCACGAGAAGCCAGGCCGCCGGAGCCCCGCCAAGGGCCTCTGCACGGACAGGCATAGGTTCGAGGGCCGGCTTGTCAGCTGTTCCGGGGTTTGCAGATCGGCTCACGCAGTTCGTGGCTGTGGGACAGGGTTCCTGGGGCCTCTGTACAGTGGCTCTAGCTGCAGAATAAAGGCAGGACCTTGGAGAGAGCTGGGTGTGCATGTGGGCAGGGCGGCGGGGGTGCCTGCGAGACCCCACGTCCTCTCGAGGCCTCGGAAACCCCCGGCCGCCCTCCTGAGAGGTGGGGGCAGCTCGGGACCTGCAGCAGGTCACTGCGGGTGCCAGCATCCCCGCCCTCTGCTTGTCCTTCGCCCCCGTGTTCAGCTCTCACTGCATCCTGTGGAGAGTCAGGCCTGTGCCTACGGCTGCGCCCGCGCAGGACATGCTGTGCCCACGGGGAGGGCTTCACCCGTGACCCTCCCACTGCATCTACACGCGGTTTTCAAACCGAGGTCCACAGGCCGTATCTGGGCCACAGTGGCTTTTATGTGGCCTGTGACCTGGAAAGGGTTTTGGCGTTTCTAAGCCCTGAAACGTTTAACGCTCTTAAATGTAAAGAAAAAAGAAAGACTAGTTCTGGACTGAACGGGAAGCAGGTGACGCCTAGACGTCTGGCCGGTCCAGGAGGTTGCGGCACGCTGCGCGCGATGCTGTGCGGGTCCCAACCGCATGGAGAGCACCTGCTCTGTCCACCCCCTGCCCACCTCCTGCCCCAGCGGGTCCTGGGGACCCGTAGAAGCCAGATGGACGAACACTTCCTCCCCTGCCACCCACCACCCTGCCCTGCACTTTCGGGGCTGCCTGTGGCCCAGCACCTCCCGCCCCGCAGCCCGACAGTCCCCCCTAAACCCCTGTCCTCAGCCCACGCGTCGGCAAGGCACCACCTCGTGGTCGGTGGGGCCCCTGGTGTCCCCCCGAGGATCCTTCGCTCTCCCTTGGGCCCGCGCCCACCTGGCAGCAGAAACGCTCCGTCCATGACAACCTGGCCTGTGTGGGGCGCGTGGTCCGTCGGTGGCCGCTGACCCCCACCTCTTTCCGTCCTGAAACCACCGGCTCATGGTTTTCCAGGACCCCACCTGCCAATCTCAGCCCTTCTCAGGACCCCACCCGCCCCCCAGCCCTCCGCAGTTCTCTCCCTGAGCGGGGGCACCAGCCTTCCCTGTGCGCCACCGCCGGGCCAGCCGCTAGGATGGTGGTGCACATCCGGAGTCACCCCAGGCAGGGCTGTCCCCATGGCACTATGCCCCGTCTCCGTGCTCGTGGCAGCTTTGACGGCTTGGACCGTGGACCTCACTCGCCACCCTGAGGTTCCTCGGGAGGTTAGTGGCCTTTGACACAGCGCGAGCGAGGCTTTCTCCATCCCGCCGGGGTTTGCCCTCGCACCCGCGACAGCAGCCACCTCCCGAGCGGTGCCCTCCTCGTGCTCTGCCAGTGGCGAGCAGCTCAGCGTGGTCACAACAGTCTCTCCACGTGCGGGCCACCGTGAGCCACGTCCTGAGCCCGGGCGGCCCCTTTCACGCACTCACGGAGTGCAGGGGCCTTTGTGCGGTCCACGCCTGAGTCCTCACCCGAGTCCACACCCTCCCTGCTTCCTTTCTCTCCGGTGGATCCCGACATGTGCGCCCTGACCGTCATGATCCGGCCCTTCCCTGACGCCTGGCCCCTCTGCCACTGTCCCTTCTGAGTGACGGTTCTGCATGTTACCATGTGGCCACAGGGGGACCCTGGGTGCAGCCGGCCCTGCCTGTGGTGGGTTGAATTCCCCGGTGCCCTGAGCCTCCCCGGGTGTGAAAACGGCGTGTGGGGGAGTGTTCCGCAGGCGGGGTGCCCGCCCTGTGCCTGGCTCGGCCTGGTCCTGCCTGGTGGCCCGCAGGAGCCCGCAGGGCTGTGACGGGAGTAGCGCGTTCCGGGGGTCAGTTCACCATTACCCAGGGCGTGCAAGTGTGTCCCTTGCCCAGCACCCTTGGGTTGGTTGCGGTGCTCCCAGCGCCCCCGGCGTCCTGCCCTGTTCCCCACAGGGCTGCCAGCCCGTGTCCCGAGGGGGTCGTAGGGCAGCAGCGCAGAGCCAGGGGGAGCCGTGGGCGGGTCGTTTGGAGGCAGGCAGGAGCGCTCGAGGAGCTGCACGTCGCAGGGTGTCCTACCGACACCCGTTCTCATGCCAAGTAATTTTTCATTCTTTCCTGAAACAGGTTATTTTCAAAATACCAGTATTTTGATTCGCGGGGAATGTTCATCTCTATCGTGTTCTCAGCACCGCTGCTGCTCAACGCCATGATCATCGTGGTACGTGTTTTACAGCCTTCCGGCCTCTAGCTCCGTTCTGTGTGTTTGCTGCTTCTAAAGACGTCTCAAAATGATTGTTTTCAGATTCTGTGGGTCCGCAAGACTTTGAACGTGATGACTGACCTGAAAACCCTGCAGGAGAAGAGAAGAGAAAGGAAAAGGAAAGAAGAGTGACGCTGGGACGCGGGTGTGGGTGTTCCTAGGGGCCTCTCTCCTCGGCGTTGTCCTTGGAGGGCCTGCGTGTGCGTCCTGGGGCCGCCTCGTCGGGCCCACCCCCGCCCCTCATCGTGGCGCCGCCTCACCCAGCACACGCGGAAATCATCCTGAAAATAAACGCTGACGTCCATGTGGGTGTCTCTCGAACCTGGGTCTGTTGGGACTTTCCAAGTGTATGAACCCGTGGTGTCAGCGGAGCGCTTCCGGAGTCCCTCGTCGTTCGTGTCCTCTGTGTGAGCGGAGTGACTATGAAGCGTCTGCAGTGTAAAACCTTCAACAGGTGAGACGGGCCGCGCTGTCGTGCGTAGGCACCGTCACCCGTGTGGCCTGCACGCGGCATGTGGCAAAGTCGGTGACATTCTGGGCCGTCCTGGGGGCTGGAGCCCAGGGGGTGCCGGGCAGCCCCCGCCCTGGGGTGACGTGGCCCAGAACCTGCGCCGAGCCGCGACAGGGAAGCCTGGGCCAGAGGACCCTACTCGAGATGCCGGGAGTCGGGTCCTGAGGACGCGTGCGCTTCTGAGCACGGGACCCAGGCCCAGGAGGTGAGGCTTCCGTGAGCGTCCCGCTGCCCTCCCTGGGACGGGAAGGTCACGGCTCCCTTGGGCCCTCGCAGCAGTTGCAGGAGCTACGGTAGGAAGGCCTCGAGGTCAGGGTTCCCCGGAGAGCGCGTGGGTGGCCCCTGGAGCGAGTGAGGATGCGCAGCGACGCGTGCAAGTGCCAGCAACGGCTCGGCTGTTCAACAGGTAGATCCTTCTACCCAGTAGCCAGGTTACGTCCCTTCCACGTGGATCTGCTGCCACTCCGCGGCGTCTGCTTCCAGGCTCCACACTGTCCCGAACGGCAGCTGCCGCGCTCCGGGGGTTTGGCGACAGCCGTTTGTGAACAACCGTCTAAATGTCAAAGATTTTTCCTCCTAAGTGAAACCTATTCTTCAGATTTCGAATAAACCAACGGTGTGAAGCACCTGCAGGCAGCGCTCTGGAAGACGTTGCAGTTCGGTCTCGAGCTGCAGGTGATGTGTCCGGGGACCGCCGGGTTTGAGCCGAGGAACCGCTCCGGAGTTCTGACCGCGCTCCCCCGAGCCCAGGGGACCTTCCAGGTGGATCCTGCGCGCGCTTTACCCTGACCCGTGCTGGTTCCTGCCTGACGTCTTATCTTTGTATCGAACGTAAAAATGACGCGGAAGCAGCGTCCTGCGTTGGGCCAGGTTTCCAGTCTGTGGGGCGTGGACGGTGCCCACGGGCCCTGGGCTCCCGCGGCCCGGCGGGCGGGCAGAGGGCGGGCCAGGACACGCTCAGCGGCCCGCGTCCGGGTGTGAGCTCCCCTGCGCGGCAGCTCCGTGAGCGCGGCCTCTGCGGCCTCCGCTGCGCGTGGGATGTTGAGGGGACACTTGTACTTCGTCTTCACACGGAAAAACTCTTTTTTTGACCGTCTAGTACGTGCCTACTTGGTGGCTTGAATTGCGGCGTTAGCACGGGTCTTCCGGCCTGGGAAGGTCCCACACACCGGCTGGCCGGGCACCGCCGGGTTGAGGCCTGTGTGCCGTGACGGGTCCCCCTCGCTCTCGCTTGAAGCAGGCGTTCAAGGACACGTTCACGAACAAAGACGAGAAGAGGAGATTTGTGACAAGAATGTGTTTTGCGTATTCCAAATCTGACACCTTCGGTTTCTTGATTGTTGTGAAATAAAATATATATTTAATAACATATGGCGTTTCCTCCTGAAATGTTTGCTTTGACCTTTCTGTGCAGGAAGCAGGGGCTCCCAGGACGTGGCTCCGCATCCAGCCCCTGGCACCGAGCACCACAAACCCAGAAAGTCAGACGGTCCACGTGGAGCACGAGCAGCACGGCACCCGCGTGGGCGGACGGTGACCGCGGCAAGGACGTGCCACACGGGCTCACCTGTCCCAAAAAGTCACAGTCAAAAAGTTTTAACTTGGAATATTTATTGAGTAGGGATTAGGAATAAGGAATTTCAGTGCAGGTGACACTTAAACAGGGAGCCGTGGTGACCCAGGTGACCCGTTGGGGAAAGGACCTCCTGTTCCAAGCACCCTTCTTTTACCCCGTTTCAGAGAACACGTTTTCACTGCATCCTGCATCACTCTGGATCGAGAGGATGAGAAGCCTTACTAATCTAATCACCAAAACAGGAAGGACAAATGGCCTTTTATTTTTATTTTATTTTATTTTTTATTTACTTATTTATTTTTTTTTCAAATGGCCTTTTTAAAGATTTATTTATTAGAATCCCAAGCAGGTTCCCCGCCTGATGTGGGGCTTGATCTCACGATCCTGAGACCATGACCTGAGCTGGATGCTCAACAGGCTGCTCACCCAGGCTGCAGGGAGGGCTGCGGGGGGGGGGGGGATGGAGAGGGTGGTGGGCCACAGGGAGGGCCGAGGGGGACGAGGGGACGGCTGCGGGGAGGGCCGAGGGGAGGGCTGGGGGGTGGGCTGCGCCGTGGGCCTCAGGGTGATGGGCTGTAGGGCTGTGGGCGCGGGGTGGGCTGCAGGGGAGAGGGCTGGGGGGTGAGCCGTGGGGTGCTCGGGTGGGATGCAGGAGCCCTTCCCTGCGTCCTCCGGTGGCACAGCTGGGGCCTGATGGCCATGAGGCCCGGAGGCCCCGATGCTCGGATTCCCTCGTGACGCGTCGGGCTGCCTCCCGCTGGCTCTCTGGTGGGCCACGCTCCACCCTGGGGAGGTGCCTGCTCTGCTCTCCGCGGCGTCCTTGGGAAGCTCGGGGCTCCACTGCCAGGTCCGGGCTGGTGGCTCAGGTGCACGCTGTGGGGACCGGGTGCCGGGGAGCAGCTCCCGACCGCCGCGGACCAGCCAAGCTGCGAGCCAGCGGGGCCCCGAGGACCTGCGCCCTCCCTGCGCTGCCTCTGCCTGCCTTGTGCTTCAGCATCGCCACAGAGACCTGGGCGCAGCCCCCTGCATCGGGCCTCCTCGTCGTCTCCCTGCCTGGTGCATCCTCGGGGCTCGAGCTAGCGCGATCCCATGTGCACGAGGACCTGTGAGCCCCGAGGACCCGTGAGCCCTGACTGGTGACACTGCCCGGGGTGGTGCCTTCTTGTCCAGGGTCGTGCTCCCGTTTGTGCTGATCTTCCTTCCCGTGTCCTCAGCCTCCAGACCTGGTTCATAAGGGCCTGGTGATGGCTGTCGGGGCTCTGGTTCCATGGTGAGCCTGGGGGCGGGTCATTTGCAGACATAGGGAGGGACTTGCTGTGTCCACCTGCGGGCAGCAGGCTGACCCTGGTACGTCTGTTTTACTGTTTCCTCTCCCTGTCCCCATGTTTGGGTCTGGCCGTGGTCTGCGTGGACTTTGTCCGCCCCTGGGGCCCGAGCGTGTCCTCCTGGGCATGTGTCCGCCTGCCCGCCACCACCAGTGGTTTGCACGTGGTCCCGAAAGTGGGCTGTGGGGGCTCCTGCCAGCCGTGTCCGCTTGGCTTGTATATAATCGCTGGTGTATTTGCCGCAGAAGGAAATCGTCCCATGTCCATTTGCTGCCCCATCTTTCCTGAAAGTCCATGTCTTTTTTTTTTTTTTAAGATTTTATTTATTTGTGAGAGACAGAGGCAGAGACCCAGGCAGAGGGAGAAGCAGGCTCCATGCAGGGAACCCGATGTGGGACTCGATCCTGGGACCTCGGGGTCACGTCCTGGGCTGAAGGCGGCACCAAGCCGCTGAGCCCCCCCGGCTGCCCGGTCCGTTCCTTATAAAGCTTTTCTTGAGCCCTTGGAGCACAGTCACGTTTCAACATGTGGCACCATTTTCAGTGGCGACGTAGTAGCCAAACCACGTAAACTCCATTTGCTCAAGGGCCTCCTGGTCCTGGAGATTCAGAGTTTCTCTACGTGTTTTCCTGACGCGAGCGACACACTGATGTGTGGCTTCAGAGGCAGACGTTTGCACGTTGGTTATCGACGTGGAACGAATCCTGCACGGGAGACGAAGCCAAATACGGGCGGGCGCTCTAGGACCGTTGATACAAACCGCGAATCCGGCTCAGGACGCCGAAAGCAGCCTCTCGGCCCCCGTTTCCCCGGCCCCGTGCACTCTCGGCGGCGGCGGCGGCACGAACGTACCCCGCTGGTGAACAAGCACGGATGTTAGCTCCCCGCTTTGGTGTGCATTCCGTTGACGACCAGTGAGGCTGACGGTCTTCAAGCGACTGTTGACAGTTTGTGTGTTTTGGGAGTGACTTGCCCACGCGCTTGATGCTTCCGCAGTATTGCCCCTTAAATACGTGGTTCTGGTTTTATGTATTAACGTCAATAACACACGTAAGGCAAAGCTGTCTTTCCAGTTTGGGGTTGGATTTCGGCCGATGTCCAAAGAGTTTAGAACTCTGGGAAATCCCTGTGTTTTCTGTATTTCTGCCCCCGCCTCGGAGGGCGCAGGGTCCGCGCCGCCGCAGCCCACCAAGCGAGTCTGCCGCCATCGCGTGCGTCCGGGCAGGAGGGTGACACCCGGTGACGACGAGGTCACTTCATGGCCGGTGCTTATTTTACGTAGGTTTTGGACGACGTTAAATGCCTCCGTGGTTTGTTTCGTTTTCTTACCCAGACTTGGCGTCACCACGAAGGTCCCTGGGAGCAGCTCCTCACTCTTCACGGTCTGTCCTGTGAGGAGTCAGTGAAACCAGAGTGACGGGAGCCAGGCTGTCGCTGCAGGTGAAGGTACGTGCATTTTGTGGTGAAACTGGTGATGGTAAAAAAAAAAAAAAAAAAAAAAATTCAAACCATTTCCTTTTCCATGTAAAAGTCTACCCCCAGGATCTCCGAGGACGCTCTTGCTGTATGATATTATTCTATTATAAAGATTCACATTTTTGAAATCCATTTGGGGGCACCTACGAGGTTTGTCTGTTTTCAGCCTGACCTTCGGCCTGAGTCCCTCGCCTTGCAGCTGCCGTCGGCTCTGGTGCCGCGGGAGGAAGGGGGTGCGTGTTCGTCCGGCCGTTGGGGTGCCAAGCAGCATCGGACCCTCCACCGAGCAGAGTAGCTGCGGCGCTCAGGGCAGCAGAGGTTCGCGTTGGTGCCTCACGTCCGGCCCCCGGGAGAGGCGCCGAGGCCCTGGGCCTTCCACGGCCCGTCCCACCCGCGTGGCGGCTTCGTGCCGGCAGCAGGTCACGCACGGCCCCTGGCCTGGGGTCCCGGGTGCGGGCAGCTGGGACACTCGCTCCTGGCGACTCTAAAAAGGTGCGAAAACAAGGTGTGTTTTGAGAGCGGTCAGCACGTCGGACAGAGGCCCCGGTGAAGTCGGCCGCGTTGGCCCTGGCCCTGACCCGCGCCGCGGGCGTGTCCACTCCCAGCTCCGGTGCAGCGGACAGGGTGGAAATGAGGGGCCCGGGGGCTCGCTCACAAGCCGGCACGGACGGAAATAGCGTCTTACGGGAAATGAGGCCTGGAGGAGGGCGTCTTGGGAGGGGGTGGGTTGGTTGGCACTTCCAGCTCTTGGAACTTGTTAGAGACGCCGCGTCAGCCAAATCGCTGAGTTTTTTCCTGAATTTCAGTTTCCCCTCGAGAAAGAAGTGCGTGTGAATGGCTGCACAGCCCTCTAACGAGGCCTCGGTGAGGAGCGAAGGATGCGAGGAGCGGCAAGTTTCCGTGGAGCGCAGGTGGGGCTCCTGGGGGGCTGGCCGCAGACTGGCCGGGCCGAGCCCTGAGAGCCGCAGCCGGCACCTGGAGGGCACACGGGGGGCACGGAGGGCACACGCCCACGAGGCCGCTCACCTGGGCGCTCGCTTACTGCGGGCTCCCCGGGCTGCAGAACCCTCGTTCTCGGCGAGGAGGCGTCTTCACGGACACCTGCACAGGGCGCCGCGGGCTGAGGGAGGCGCCGTCTGATGGAAGGCAGCAGCCCGGGTCACTGTGCTTTGCTCTCCTGCCGTCGGGACACAAGCTCACCGGGCCCTGGTTGTGCCGTCAGGTTAGTTTCCAGTTTGCCGGAAGCCGAGGACACGCGCCACCAGAGGAAGACGAACAGCGGGGTCCCGTGCATGCGCCTGGGAACCCCCGGGAGGCAGGCGTGCCCAGACCCTGGACGCCACTGGAATTAGTGCACACATGTAATTATAATGTATTTGCTAGTTTCTGGAACACTTTTTAAAGATGAAGCTTAAGTAAAGGCGATTGAACGTGGAGGGGATAACGAGGCTGTGCCGTCTGCTGCTGCGGTGCACGGGGAGCTCATTACCGGCCCGGCGCGCGGGGCCCCGAGGCGTGCGGATCAAAGGCCCGGGCCTGGCCCTGCAGTTTCCTCTCAAGAGGGCCTTTTAATGATTGATTTAAGTTGGAAGCTGCGGGGAGCATCTTGGTCCCTCGCGCCACGTCTGAGCTCAGAGGGCCTCGCGGCTCCGGAGACGGACGAGCGGCCTATGGGGACCCCGGGGCACACGGACCCCCCGCCCCCGCACCCGCGTTCCTGCTCTGTCGGGGGCGCGTCACCATAGACCCACACACAGCAGCGCACACGCAAGCAGTGCTTCCCGCTGTGCCCCAGGCCCCGGGGGTCTGGTGTGGACGTGCTCCCCGAGCCAGCAGCTGCGGAAGGTCGGCAGCAGCCTCCGGGCTCCCGGTCCGCTTCCCCCCGGGCCCCCGACACGGCCCCCGCCTCACTCCGCGCCGCAGTTGGATGCGTATTGCGTTTATGTCTTCTCCCTGCCCGAAATATTATCCGAGCTCCAGACGTCCTCGCCC